CAGGTGCTGCTGATTACGTGGACAAAGCTCTCCGAGAGAAAGAAGAGTTACGTGTACGGATAGCGAGCATGGGTATTCTCGCTGAAGATGGATCATCGATGGACCTTTTTGGTCAGTATATTACTGCTGTTCTCTGAGTAGCATGAAGTTTTCATCCTATCGGTTTTTACCATGCTCGTGGGTCGTGGGGCATATACGGTATCTGGGTAACGGGCGTGTTACGAGCCACAGCTAATAAATAACACAACTTCATAGCAATGAATACTGCTCCTTGTTCAACGAAGTATCAGCAACTTGAAAAGCCAACCTGAAGGGTCGGGTGCAATTTCTCCAGGGAGGTGCACACTGTACAGATCGGCTGGCATAGGCATCAGCGGAGAGATGCGCGCGCCAGACTCGCTGAAAGAGAGGGTGGATATGTCAGAGAAGTGTGTACAGTCCGAAATCTTGTTGAGCGTCGAGGAATGTGGCTGCTGATGTTATGGATCAGCGAACGAACATGCACATTGGGGAACGACTGATTTCTGCTTCATCAAGCGACGACAGACTTCTCAGCGATAAGGCACTATCTATATTTCGTACATAAATTGATGAAACATACCCAGTACTTCAACACTCGTTCCCGACGCATTGCACCCCCTACGCTTCTTCTGATATCTACTTGACGCGGTCCTGAAAGTGACTGTATCCCAATCTTCATGCTTTCACTACGGCAGTCCACTTGAGGGTTACCGTATGGTAGACTAATGGAGTGACAGGACGGACAACCCCTGGTCCATCGGTCCAAGCGTTCCTTTCCATATCATACCAGCAATAATGATATGCTTCGAAGATAGATGTTCCCATCCAATTGTCATGAACAAGGGGACGTCCTTCGGTACTCAGGACCCGGGGCGGCTTCAAGCCGTCAGTGTCGGCAGTGTCCTCCAGATCGATCTTCCAGTTGCGTAATCTCTGAGCTATAGCAAGCAGCTGGGACATAGGAATCAGTCAGTTCAATGGCATACCCTGGATCGTTAAGCACAAGCCTGGTCCTGGTCCCTCTCAATCGCCTCCAGCTGTATCTGAACTTCCTCAAGGCTCTTCAACAGCTTAATGTTTTTTGTCCACTCGTCCTCCAGCACCAACGAGTGATTAAGCCCAAACCACCACCAATCCGAGTGTCTCATCGTAATCTTCAACTTTCTCGGACGCATTTCGGGGATCTCACAAGATCCCGGAAAGCTCCTCTCAAGCCAATGCTGCGGCGTGAAAAAGTGCACACAATGGACCTTTTTCTGCTGCTCCTCCGTCATCTTACGGAAGTATCCGGCTGGATCCTCACTCGACCCAGGCGGGTTGCGGTACCCGCCCCCCACCTAAAACACATGCTCGTTCTCGATGACAGGTAGGAGATGAGTTTCATCATAGATGCGATGGCACGTGAGAAGGAGCGCAGTGTCTATGCGCTGGTAGTGTTCATATCCTGGACGGAAGTAGTAGGCACTGCCGGGGTAGTATCCTCTAGCTTTGTCGGGGTAGGCATATAGAGCAAGCCGGAAGATGAGGTTACGGATTTCGGGGGGTAAAACGGAGAAGAGGAGTGAGGCCTCTTGGAGGTAAGCTTCCGATTGGACTCTTGGGTGCATGGTTGCAAAATCTTAAGAGATTCGTGGAGCAGGCACGTATTATATATTGGGTCCGGAGGCAATCGACTAGTACAGCCATGAGAAGCAATCAGTTTTCCGAGGGATGCCGGAGAACTATACACAAAAGACAGTTCTCTCAACTGCAGTCTGCGAACAAATGATTATAATCGGACTTACCGAGCTTCAAATTTATCTCCCTCCCAGATACCTGAACCCCAAAACATGTTCACCCTCACCTTCTCATTCAATCCATTCGGCTGTTCCCAACCCCAATCATAGCGTTCTTCTTCCCCCAGATCGTTATTGAAAGCTGTTGAATCTATGAGTGGGCTGTTAATGATCTTTCATAGCTGTAGAAAGCTATTTACGTTCTCGCCCCCACATCAGGCCAGGGATGCTTTGCATGATCCGGCATAGAAAAGCTTTCAAGTGATCAACTTCGCGTCGAGAGAAAAAAACGGCCTTCATCTAAGCGCCGTTTACTACGTGTACGCGAGAAGTTCGAAGTTATCTGTGGGAAGATCATGCGAGATCTTTCCCCCATCTACGCCCAAATAAATAACGTACTATTCTGTATAATCAGATACGAAATGAACGAGATAGCAGCGCCGCTGACTCACCTCCCCGTTCCTTGACTTAGAGAATCTCTCTGGCCATCAATTGGGCACCTGCCCCTCCACGCACTCCTAGAAGATTATCACTAGATGGATAGCCACCACAAAATAGCTCTCCGCGTCTATCATAAGACGAGAATTATCGATCCGCTCCTGGTCAACGAATCCGTAAACGGAGATACACGCTGCGCTCTCAGTCGCCACTGATAACGAACTTGAGCGAGATCTATGCAGCTATGATAAGCCTCGGACAATATATAAAGACCGTAATGATGTACACCACGGCAAGCGAAATGAAAAGATTTCGGCTAGGGGAGGTATGTGATGTTTGCCGGAGAGACGGTAATGCTCAAACTTCCGGTCACATTATAGCACATGCCGTCGGTTGTTAGCGAATGAAAAATACCTCAAGGCCCTTTCTTGCGGGCAGCGAGGTTTGATGGTGTGTCGAAATCTACCCCACCCGGGATCCAGCTGGGTTGGTGTCAGTCCGATAGCGTCTCTTCCGCTGCATCCTGGATGGAAGGGAAATAGTAGTCCATGCAGATGCACTCAGTGAAGAGACCCCCCGTGCGTATGCCCCAATCCAATTTGTGCAGTCCAAGCACTTTTACGAGAAGCGCGATCCATGGTGCAAGTCGGAAGAAGTCTCGCAAAAATACGGCCTTTCGTGGATCTCACAGCCTTTAGGCCTGATAATGATAACAAGAACCACTTCTGAGAAGAGGTACACCCGACGGGAAGAGAGAAATAAGCGGCAAGGCAGGGTTCGGGTTTGGAGGGTAGGTACGTCGTCGTAGTTTATATCTATGATCTGGTCGAGAATACGTACTTCGGGTGGCAACGATTAAAAAAGAATTTGGATTTGAAGCCATAATCACTTGGCTAGGGCTGTTCAGAAAGTCTGCTCCAAGGAAAATGGGAGATACCCTACCTTGAACGTAATGGCCCGGGATCACCTTCAGAATGTCACGAAGCTCACGAAGTGGTTCGAGACCTTAGCAAGTCCCATCGGCCCTGCACCTCGGAGAAGAGGGCAGATAACTTGAACGGACTTTGGATGAAAACCACGATATTACGCCACTGCCTACACTAGATCATCGGAATTTCCAACAGTTCCTCCTTCAAGGACAGAGGGCAATAGGTGGAAACCAATTCGTTGAGTTTGGGCTTCCGGTGCGACTTAGATCGAGGGAGACGGAGTCCATGTAAATCCTACGGCCGTAACGTCCCGGCGATACGAGCATCCCACACCAAATAGTAGCTACTGGACATCTGTGACGAACACAGGCACGCGATAAGCGAAGGTCTCGCGGTGGCATTTAAACCATCGTAAAAGGAAGTAAAGGCAGAAGCGTTAGGAGAAAGTTTTCATGGAGAAATTTGACGAAGAGACGATGGATAGGAGGTTAGAGCTTGCCGCCGCTTCTGTAGTAAGAGACTCTGTACAAGCACCAGATATCGATAATGGAGGATTGGCATACTCACCGGGAGCCAGCAAGCTTAGTCAGGATTTTGACTTGACTTTGTACCACCATACCGACCCCGTTATCAATATGACAGCTTCTGCTTTTTTGTCCTTCTCTTGTACCACGTCCACCCGTAAAAATGTGACTGATAACTTGACAATAGACGCCAACAGACCAACGATGTCCCTCATTCGCCATCCGTCCAAGCAGGAGAATCGATTGCGTGAGGTGGAAAGTTGACTAGCGCCTGAAAAAATGACGGTGAACTATCTTGTAGTTCCACCTAGAGTCGATTCTTACGAGCGGCGTCGGATAGCCCTTTGTCGCCCTATCCAGTGAAAGGAGCCTAGCAAAGCTGACGTGGTTATCATCTCGCTTGCTGCCTATTCGTCCGATTGTCCTATTCGCCTTTGGAGATGGCTACATAATCAGCTCTGGGCTGGGCAGAAATCCTTGTCGTACTCGATAAAATTGACATCAGGGTTTGCGTACGGATAACAGGTGGGTTGTCGCTACAATCAAATCGCATCTCGCATCTAATGCAGAGGACATCCCAGAGAAGAGGTCCGTTCATGACGGAGGTTGAGCATATCAAACGGATTCCTTCACTCTTCAGTGGAGCTTAGTATCCTTTCCGGCTCTCTTCATCGACCTCCACAGCAACCGAAACTCAATGTACCACTCACGACTCATCGACTCTTTCATTGCATCTGCCAAGGAAGGTACGTATTTGTCGACCCCGAATTCCTTCCCCGCTCGCTCAAGAACCTAGCAAAAACCCTTCATTCTACTATGTCTGCACCTCTGACTCTGTTGCTAGCGCTCATGTCTCTTCCACAAAAGAGTTTGCACACGTGCACCCGACCCTTGTTCTACCATTTGATTCGCGTGGAGCCGGAAAAGGATCGGCAGGACCCTTTTCCCCGTAATCCACCGCACGGCGAAATCTAACAGCACGGAGGAGACAAGTGATGTTGCTCTATTCGGCAACAACCAGCTATCGCCCTCCTCGACGCCCAGTGCAAACCTAGCATTTGTCATGTGTGCGGAACTGGGAATGGGAACGGGAAGGCGCTCTCATATACCAATGAATGAAAGGCCACAGGCGATCACTCTTGTACGCGTACGCACTTTACTCATACCTAAGGGTAGACGAGTACGCACTCACTCCCAGATTTCTAGTATCATTTATCATCTCTGAGGTGAACAAGAGTGGTCACTAAATGTTCTGCACTAGGGGCTTGACATACGTTTGGGAATAGGAACAATCATACACCTAGGCTATTGTAGGCGCTATAGTGTAGTGGCATCACATGGGATTCTGATTTCAGGTAGCAAATAAGTATTCCCATAACCCAGGTTCGACCCCTGGTAGTGCCTTCTTTATTTTTACTTGGCTTGTGGTCTGACTGTTCTACGCTCGACGCTCGTCGTTCAGGACTCGTGAGTCGTCAATCGTTACTCGAGTGTCCCCGTCCAAGTCCAGTGTCACTTTGTCACTTTCATGGACTCAAATCTCGGTGACTTGTGGCCTCGGTGGTACTCAGAAGAGTCTTTACCGTCGTAATGCGTACTACAATGATAGTCATCGGTATCTACATCATACTTGAGGACGGGAATCGGTTGTTCAATGTACTCTGTATGTTAACAAGTTAGGCTTAAAATCCACTCAAGGCAATAAAGCTTTCTAACGATCTCTTGTAAGTATTCCGGGTCAAACTTGTAAGTATTTCCGCTTGAATCCTGACTGCACGCTCGGGAACAGATAATGCGTGGAGAGCAAACCGGAAGTTAACGAATATCTCGGAAAGCCAACCGACACTTGGCTCTGCGCCACCATCTATAAACTATGATGCATGTTGATTGATATTAGTACTTGCACTACAATGGACTATGGGGAAACTGGTTCAAGCTCAAAGTCGACTCCGATTTTGGCTCGAGGACGAAACCGCGACGTTGATAGTTTGCCTCCTCTGTCATTTGGAGCTTTGACGGGTGTGAGTTGGCCGATTTAAAGTACATTTTTGGACAGGGCTCACATATGCTTCGCATCCAAAGACGTGAATGATTAGGGCGAACCAGAGAGCCATACCCTGGACAGCACGAGTGGCCGCGATGTCGTGAAGTTTATCGCCATGAGTATCAGCATTGACAGGGACAAAGGTCCCAGAGAGGTCTACGTCATTACCGGCACATGTTGGGAACTGCAGCTCGACTGTGGTGATGTTGGTGAGGACGGAACGGAGCTCATCACACCGGAATACCTGGCACCGAACTTCTATGAATTGAGAAGATCAAAACATGTTCACACGCACAGAGTGGTAGTTGCCAATGTCGGTTACTATTTCTCGCGCGGCCAGGACAATCAGGCGTGTGGTGATGACGACGCTAAATATTACTACGCCACCTATTTAGTTGATCAGGGGATGAGTGATTTTGATAGATGTGTCTGGGGTAGTATACGTACGGAGCATCCATTTCCGGTGTTCCCTGGTGTTTTTCTTGACATTGGAAAATCCGATGATCAGGCAGCCGGCGGAGAGCATGCCGAGCGTGTAATACATAGACTGGGAGTTGATTTCCCCGCCAAATCCTCTGTAGCCTATGATGGCGCCGCAGACATTGGAAGGGATCAAGAGAATGAGAACAAAGTAGCCTGAATGGCGAAGAGTTAAGCGTATTCATTGTCCGGTTCTGCAGGAACAAGCGTACCGTTTAGACGGTGTACAATTACAGCGCGCTTCAAGTAGAGATAAGTGTGAGCAGTATTCAGAAATTCGTGCAGAACTTACACGTCGAATTGCTGGAAGGAACTGAAACACAGAAAAAATTCCACCCACTTCAGGTAGACTTATTTAGACTGCTTGTTGATAAAGTATACAGGTCGATGACTCACTGACGGCGGTATATATGTGTATCGCATAATTGGCTTTGAATGTCTTCTGATTGAACCAGAACCATTGGCCTAAGGAATGGATCAAGGATCAATCGATAGAGCTTTGCTATTATGTTATGGATTACCTGCTGGTGCGTATTTCTTCATTAACGCAAAATTCATGGTTCGTGCGCCAAACAGAGAGAATCCTATAAGGGCGCCCCCGAAAATGATGACTGATGACAATCAGGACCTAAAGAGAGGCATTAAAGATTGATCACACTTACAGACTAAGAGGCTGAACCTCTCCTTAAACCCGACGATGCTGCTTATTGTACGATAAACCGCTCGACCAGGTATTTTTTGGCGTGATTTCGCTACCGCATGCGGTGGAGGCACATCGAAGTACGGTCGGTTAGCATGGTGCGAGTCGTCACTCGCCTTTCCGTAACGAGGGTCAATCGTAAAGACGTCTCCCTGATTGGGTAGTTCAGAAGCAATGGTCCTCGGAGAGTAGACGGACATCGTGGGTGGTGGGGAAAGCGACTGCAAGCGCCATCCACGGCCATTTCAATGTAAATGATCCCTGGGATTCCACTGAGTAATAAGCGCTAAGATAGCGGGGTCAATCAGAGTTTAGAATAGTATTCCAGATGAACCAATGCTATGCAGCTCGAATCACACTCAGCTATCCGTGAGGATACCGGACGGAGATAACTTAAGACCCTAGAGTCGATTCTATGGCGCCAAAGGATTCTCCGCTGCTTTGGGGCAAAGTCTACCCATGGTTGGAGCGCGGGTAGTATTTTTAGTGATTGAGCGTCCGTGAAGCGCGAAGTATTCTCAAACACTCCAGCGCTGCACATCTGACAGCTTCCGTGTGGGGTTTCGTGGAGGGAATATTTGGAAGTCACTAGTGTGTTTACGGGGAGATCTCTTGGAAGAAATTCCTATCCGGGTTAGTCGGAGATCTTAATCACGAGAAAATATAAGCTGACTCATGGATAGGCTCGATACCAGCCAATCTGATCCCTTCAATAGGAACTACACGACCTCGTAAGACCGGTTCGAGTCTAACTCATGGATAGCTGGGATGCTAAAGATACTCACATAGAACTATACTGTCAACGTAGGTGCAATTTCCAAAAGACCAAGGCTGTCCCATTCTGACGCGTTGCATCCAACGCTTATAATACGCTTTCCGCAGTCGGACCGAGAAGCCAGCACCGACACACTGCTTCGAGCACAGGCACCCCAGTGCTGGTTTGGGTCCAAATCTGGCGTAAACTAGTAAAATGAGCGCAATCATGCATGTATGGTGTATGATTATGATAAAAGCTTTGTTGAGAAGTTCAAAGCAGAGACGGCGGATTGGGGAACCCTCTCATTGTGATGGGCTGGGCACTGGACATCGAACTGGGGAAGAAACATTCAACGACAATGACTTCAGCTAAGAAGTGAAAGTGAATGGGCGAGGATACAGTGTACTGAGTTACGTACGTTGGATTCTTGAGCTGACTCAGAGGCCTGACCGGCCCCGGGGTAGATCCGTACGTCACCAACTCAATCTTGCTAGCGAGCCTGAGGAATTACTAAAGGTAGATCAATTATTTCGTTTCTCAGCTGAGCATGAGTAGCGACCTGATAGGTCTGTAAACTGCACGGCTAGTTCCAGTAATTTGAATCGTTACTGGTATACTATAGAACAACTCCCAACAAACACCGGGACGCGGCGCTGCACGTGAACATTTGAACAGAGGTCCGAAGTTCATTCAAGTTGAATTCAAGGAACGAGCGATTGAAATATTGATGATTGATTGATAAATCATGGTTTACGGCAATTTGCAGGCGCTGATATAGCAGTGCAAGGTATAGATGGAATTACTAGCTCGTAGCGAGGACAGGAGATATTATCATTTGGTATCACAAGTGAGAGGTATACGAAATTTTGAGTAGTACATGTACTGATACAATAGTAATAGGCTACACATCATTAATGGGAACGAAAGACGCAGTCTTGAGGGAAAGTTACAAAGCCATAGAAACACCAACTATCGCCGGCCAGAGGACAAAGAGAAGCCTAGCATCGAAGCGACGCGAATGAGCAGCAGAGTACGGATGCGAGTCACCAGAGGTCGTATCTAAGGGACCTGCGTAAACAGTAGATCCTGGAGGCGATGCAACGGTTGAGGAATATGAAGAACTACCACTAGCCTCAGACTGCGTAGCTGTGGTTTGGAGAGCGGTGGTAGCGGTTACCGCGGATGTGTCAGAATAGGGAAAGGCGTCGTAGGAAATCGGCAGAGAAGAGAGAAGATCAGGTATGCCTGCGATTGTGAAATCGGCAGTGTAGACGATATTTTTCGGGTCGGATTCAGATATCCAACGCATAGTACTGTCAGAACAGGTTAGAATTTTTTAGCAAAAGGAAAGATGGGCTGGAATTGAGAAGGGACACTCACTAATCGCTGCCTTTATATCTGAGCCATGGGGAGAGGTAAACGGTGTATGTTTGTGACTGAGTTTGGACGTTTCTGGCGAGAGTTCCTATGTATGTCTTTCAATGCAGGGACAAAAGAAGGATGTCAGTAAAGGCGATATCGCGGAGAACATAGATCAACATACATGGTTCCCAGCAAAGAGCTCCACCTTGAATCTTCCCGTTTCCTGAGCGTCCTTGAGCGTCGAGCGCCAATTCAGCACGGCGGGTTCGGCGACTTTGTATACGGTCGCCGCGACGGGCTGAGTTGGATAGATAGACGCGTTCACCGTTGGAATGGAGCAGACAAGAATGAATAAAAAGATCCAAGTGAAAACGGTTTGGAAAACGACCGGCGTTAGGAACAGAACGGACATCGTGGTTAATGTTAAGTTGGATTTCAACTGGATCGAGGCTGACGCGGTCACGGTCCTTACGCGTGATTTCCGGGCCGGGTGTCAGGTACAGCCCAGCCCGTCAACTCCGGCCAATACTTGTGCTCTTCAGACAAGTCATCTTTATTACATCGGGCTGTTGGCAGTAGTAAGTAAGTCAAGAGTAATATTCAGGGTATTACACAAGTACGCGCTCTCATAAATAGGCCAAATGTTAAAGGTAATCACTATCCACCCAATCAGCATAGTCACTACCCAAGACGTCCGATATCGTGTAGCCGCTGGTTGAAGTGAGTGTTTTGGCAAAAGACGCACGAGTGCCAGAAGCGCCGGATCCTAGAAAGAAAATCTTAGGCACAAAACGAACGAGGTCACGGTGTACGTACCGATACTTTCATATTCAGCAAAAGTAACATGATCGGTATTGGGTGAGCTGCTAGACCACTGTTCCCAGCCAGCACTGTTGATCAAGTTTCCGAGCGAGCAGGATGTGTAAACGACGCTGATTTTCTTTTGTTCAGCAATACGCAATTGCGGGCGGAACGGCATGTGGCATACCGAGCATAGTCTTCCCATGGGCGTCCAAGGTACACTTTCCCTTGGAGAGATGTCGTCGCCGAGCTGCTAGTGG